CAAACAGAGAGATAGTGGGAGACAGGGGGAGGGAGACAAACAGAGAGTTAGTGGGAGCCAGAGGGAGGGAACAGAGACAAACAGAGAGATAGTGGGAGCCAGAGGGAGGGAACAGAGACAAACAGAGAGATAGTGGGAGCCAGGGGGAGGGAGACAGAGGGAACAGAGACAAACAGAGAGATAGTGGGAGACAGGAGGAGGGAGTCAGAGGGAATAGAGACAAACAGAGAGAGGGAGGAAGGAAGGGTGAGGGTGCAAGAGAGTGGAAGAGAGACCCAGAGATAGTGGCAGGGAGAGGGAGGGAGGGAGATACAGAAAGGGAGAGATTATGAGAGACAGAGAAAGAGCCAGAGAGAGGGAGGGAGGGAGGGAGAGATTGTGGAAATATCGTTGAGGGGTACGAGAGAACTGACCCGGTCCATCCACTTGCCCCTCTTCAGGCTCACATCCCCCTTGATATCCCTCAGAGGGAGCCTCAGTAAGTCGCTGCAGATGATACACACCTCCGTCGCTGTGTATTGGGGGGTGGGAGGGAGGGAAGTGTTGAAGGTCGGGGGGGGGAGGTGGGTGTCTGGATTGAGCTGGGGGTGGGGGGGAGCTGCTCTGTCCCTGGGACGGTGTCAAGCTTCTCGAGTGCTGTTGGAGCTACCCCCCGTCCAGGGCAAGTGGGGGGTATTCCCTCCCCACCTCCTGCCTTGTGGATGGTGGGACAGACTTTAGGGGGGTGGGAGTCAGGACGGGAGTTACTCGCTGCAGGATTCCCAGCCTCGGACCTGCTCCTGTAGCCACAGGATTGATATGGGGCTGGGGTCCGGGTTAGTTTCTGCTCAATGGGGACCCCCAGGATGTTGATAGTGGGGAGTGGGGGGTGGATTCAGTGATGGGGACACCATTGAATGTCAAGGGGCCGACAGGTCGATTTCCATACCCCACCCCGCCCCACAACAGCCCTCTGACCTTTGACCCCCCGCCCCTCCCCCTGGAGTTGGAACACACCTTTTCTCATGAACCTGGAGATGGATTGGTTCATGCTCGGCAACGTGGTGTAATTGGCCATTGGGTTGTCCCTCATCACCTGGAAGGAGGAGAGATGGACAATCTTCTCAAGGACGTCGTCTTCCAGAACCTTCCCCATGAACCGGGCCACCTTCTGGATCTCCCGCCTGGGGTTCTAGATGGGGAGAAGCAAAGGAGAGATGGTTTAGAGCTCCCGGGGTCAGGGAGAGGGTCTGTACAGGGTCAGGGGTCAGAGAGAGGGTCCGCCCAGGGTCAGGGAGAGAGTCTGTCAGGGGTCAGACAGAGGGACCATCCGGGCTCAGGGAGAGAGGGAGTGACCAACCCGACCCTGAGATATCTATCTCCCTCTCTCTCACTTTGCCTCTCCCACTGCCTCCCCCTCAATCTTACCTTCCTCCCCCTCCACCTCTCCCTCCTTCCCCCTCCCCCTCCCCCTCCTTCCCCCTCCACCTCGCCCTCCGTCCCCCTCCACCTCGCCCTCCCTCCCCCTCCACCTCACCCTCCTTCTCCCTCCACCTCACCCTCCGTCCCCCTCCACCTCTCCCTCCGTCCCCCTCCACCTCACCCTCCTTCTCCCTCCACCTCACCCTCTGTCCCCCTCCACCTCTCCCTCCGTCCCCCTCCACCTCTTCCCCACCGCTCCCTTCCTTTCCCCCCCCCCCCTCCCTCACCTCCCCCTTACTCCCTCACTCTGATTGCCCCCCATTCTCTCTATCACACCCTCCGACACTCGTTCTTCCCCACACTCTCTCCATCTTTACCTCCTTCATGTCTTCATAAAGGAGGAACAGAATCGGATGTTTCTCCTTCGCTTCCCACCAGCCCTTCGCATGGTCGTACCACGAGCCCCAGGAAACTAGAACACACCGAGATCGCACAGTCAGATCCCAATCCATCTCCCCTGTCAAACCCACTGCCACTGGGTCAAACACAGTGCAGAGGGAGCTTTACGCTGTAACTAATCCCGTGCTGTCCCTGCCCAGAGTGTGTTTGATGGGGGACAGTGTAGAGGGAGCTT